TCTGTCCCTCAGATGCCCCCCCAGTCTCCGCTTGTCCAAGCTCAATGGCTCATGCACGTGGTAGTAAACAGGGTCAGACCCAACGAAGCCCGTTTCACCGAGCCTCTATTCAAGCACATTAAGGTTCTGTAAAACAGACCCACATCAGTTCACAGCGGGAGTCCTGTCGGGGCCAAGGAAAATCAATCACATGTGTGTATTGCATGTGTTGGAAGAAAAGAGTATCATGACTCTCATACAAATAACATGTGAACATCAGCCAAGGAGTTTATTTAACTAAATAACAGAGGAAGCCAGTGAGATGTGGCAAGGCGGTGAGGAAGAATTCAAGGAGTAGGCCACAAACATGGTCAGTCAGGGACGCGGGCGCACGTCTGCGGTACAGACATGAAGCTAGTCAGAAGCCAGGGGCAAGAGTCACGGGACAGTGGTCCCACCTGGCAGCAGTGTGTGCCATGGCCATGCGTGACAGCTGACACTTGACAGCACAGAGTCCCCAAAAGGCTACACCAGGTAGAATGCTCGGTGACCTCGGTCTTCATTGCAGTCTCCCGATTGTGCCCCGATGCATTACCGACAAATCTCCAAGGCCGAGTGCACGAATGAGGGGGTCAACCACAAACACGGAGCGTGCAATCCTTTATCCCAAGAGTGTGCTGTGTCTGTCTCTCCGTCCTACCAGGTACATGCTGTGAAAATGACATTGCCTGGAAGCGTGTGGGGAATCACCATTCCTGGAGGCGGGAGATGACTGCTCGGAGGTAGAACAGGTTCTCAAGTGCAGAGAAGGGTGTCAGAGAGAAGGGTGTGGACAGGTGACGCCTTCAACTCCAAGTCCTCCTGCTAGGCTCGGAGCCGGCTCCCAGCGCCAGTCCAAAGAGACACTGTCAGGAATCAAGGCGGGTTTTAACGTTTGCCAATTAGAAGGAAGATTTTCCTCAGATATGATCAATAGCATCATGGGAATCACACCTTGTTTGGACGGGCTACCTCTGCATGTTCAGGTCCACACTCAGGGGAGCGTGTGTGTAATCCCCAGCCTGTGGAGGCATGCATGCACATAGCATGCTACAGTCTGGTTGCCTGACTCCCACCCAGGGTGACCCCCCCATGTGTCAGGGGAGAACCGGGTTCCATAAGGTCCACACTGGGGGGAGTGTGTGTGTAATCCACAGCCTGTGGAAGCATGCACACACACAGCATGCTACAGTCTGGTTGCCTCACTCCCACCCAGGGTGACCCCCCCGTGTGTCAGGGGAAAACCGGGCTCCCCAGGGTGTGTAAGGGCTGCTGTTTGGAGTGGATGGCCAGGCCTTTCTTCCGAGGTGCCTCTGGGTGGTCTGAACTGCTAACCCTTCCGTTAGTTGTCAAGTGAGCAGTTAACCATTTGTGCCACCCGAGGACAGCTATCTTCCAGCCAGTGTCTACAAAGCTAATGAATACCAAGGTAATTTCAGTTTGCCTTGGAAAAGGCAATGTTCCATACATATATATGCATACAGAGAGACACACACTGAACACACACACACACACACACACACGTGTGTGCACAGAGGCATCCTATCTCCAAGCAGCCTGACGATTCCATGGCAGTTAGGGTCTGCGCCCTGTGTCTGGGCGGCCTGACTTCCCTATCTCTGGAGATTGGCTGACCTGCACTTCTCAGCACTTTAGAGAGTGGGCTGTGCCCCGCCCTGGTGCAGTGCCCATCCCATGGACTCAGGAGCAGCCAGGGAGCTAGAGGGGGACAGGTCCTGGGGTCCCGGGAGGTGGGTTGAAAGGACGGTGCACGCTGTGCCTGGGAGTCCTGCAGGGCCTCTGTCCAGGGCCCTCGTGTCACTGACCGTGGGACCCCAGGAGTGGACACTGAGGACGGCACAGCCCGCCGCTCACTCATAGGGCGGCAGACCAAACAGCTCGGGCTGGAAGTCCTGGAGGGAGCCCAGCACCACGGTGGCCTTCCTGGTCAGGTCCCGGCTCAGCTGTGCATCGGGAACCATGACCACCTGCATGCCCGCCGCCAGGGCCGCCTCCACCCCGTTGGGAGCATCTTCAAACACGAGGCACTGTGGGCGGGGAGAGAAAGAGAAAGGGGAGTGAGCTTTTCTGTAAGGAGCTAGCCAGACCAGCCTGTACATCCCCTCACTGCCGGCTCTGGGATCCTGCACGTCAGCCGGAGCCAGGGCGAGGGCCCTTCCTCTGACGGACTGACGGACTGGGGCGCCATCCTGTGCTTCCCCTCTGTGCCCCTGGGCTTCCCGGCACTGCTGCTGCAGGCGGTTCCCATGCCCACTGCCAAAGCACCACCGAAATGCAGAGTCAGGGTTCTCCATTTAAAACTTTACTTTATTCAAATCATAAAGATCTGCTCAATCCACAATGGAACATTCAGGGCACGGGAGAAATTGTAAAAAAATTTAAAATCGTCCTTTTTTAACGCCAAAGAACTTCAGAGAGGTTCCTGTTTTGTGTGTTCTGTGGTTTGAAAATTAAATGACTGGGGTGTTTGGGTGAACAACTCCGAGCCCGTGAGTGTCTGGGCCTCGTTAGTGGGGGACGCAGGGCTCGGGCCGCGTCGAGTGTCTGGGCCTCGTTGGTGGGGGACGCAGGGCTCGGGCCGCGTCGAGTGTCTGGGCCTCGTTGGTGGGGGACGCAGGGCTCGGGCCGCGTCGAGTGTCTGGGCCTCGTTGGTGGGGGACGCAGGGCTCGGGCCGCGTCGAGTGTCTGGGCCTCGTTGGTGGGGGACGCAGGGCTCGGGCCGCGTCGAGTGTCTGGGCCTCGTTGGTGGGGGACGCAGGGCTCGGGCCGCGTCGAGTGTCTGGGCCTCGTTGGTGGGGGACGCAGGCTCGGGCCGCGTCCTTCCGCGCACCGTGCGGCCTGCCTTGTTTTCTGGGTGTTGCGAGTTCTCTGCCTCTGACAGGGTGCAGTCACCACTCTTCTTTCTTCTAACCTTCTTTGATGCATTAGGTGAAAGCTCACAGGGCAAATCCGGCTCCCCCTGGAGGCTGGGCACAGTGCTGCACAGCACTGCTGTGCTCCCCACAATGTCAGCACTCGCCCCATCTCCACCCTGGTTCCCCGTTTCCTTACATCCAATCTTCTAGCCCCTCCTGCCTTCTCATCTTTGCTTCGGGGCAAGTGTTGTCCCTTTGAGCTTGTACAGTTGGCTGCTGTGAGGAGCACGTTACTCGGGCTGTGATGGTGTACCCTATGGGCCTGTCGGCTGCTGGGCTGAGAGGTGGTTCTTGGGGGCCGATGACCAGTGTTCTAACAGTGGGCTCGGGTACAGTGGGCCCTGTGAGGCTGGCCCAGGACCGGGCAGTGTTTTGTTCTGTTGTACAAAGGGTCGCTATGCGTCAGAGCCCACTCGATGGCAACAACAACAACTCTCCCCCTTCCTGGGAAACAGCCGCCGTCTCCTTGGCCAGGTTTCTGCCTCACACAGGTCCCAGCTTTCGCAGGGTCCACTGCAGTGGGAGGGCTGGCACGGGGCACCCGGAGCGCCTGTGTTCCCTCACACAGAAGCCCCCATTTCAAATGGGGCTCTGCCGCTGGGTTTACCAGTGAGCCTGTGCACATGGGGACCAGTCGAACAAGACGGTAGATTACGTACACCGCGTGCTCACGGTGGTCTACTCTCTTGGGAAACGAGAGCAAGCAGAGCGCGATCCTTCCGATCAGGTGCCTAGGAACTTCCCGTGCCCTTAAAGGACCACATGCTTAATGAGAAGAGAGGTGTATTCACGGTCTGTGCTGGCCAGGCTGGAAGGGGCAGCGGGTCCTGCCGGGCTCTGCACACAGGACCCAGACCTTGCCGGTGGTCAGCAGCTGAGCATGGGAACCAGCATGGGAACCACCCAAGACCCCTGAAAATGTATAAAGGATGGTGGACAGTCAAGGCAGGTACTCACGTTAGTAACAACAGGATGTGGGTATAATGAACCGAACTCACTGCCACGGAGTCCATTCTGACTCACCATGGCCCTGGAGGACAGAGCGAAACTGCCCCACAGGGTCTCCAAGGCTATAATCCTTATAGAACTGACCTGCCACATCTTTGTCCTGTGGGGCAGCTGGTGGGTTCAAACCACAGACCTTGCATTAGCAGCTCAGTGTTTAACCACTGCTCCACCAGGGCTCTGGATCTAGACACTTACATAAAACAAAGGGCTACCTGAAATATGTCAGTGCATGTAGGTAAAAAAGACCTGCAGGAAATTATCCAGGGAAAAGTGGTAAGCTAGGACACTTGGCTTGGGTTCCTCCAAGTCAAACCCACTCCACTGCCATCGAGTGGATCTGACTCAATGCCAAGTGCTCTGAAAGGTCAAACACTGCTGTAGTTACAAAGCAATGTGCTCGGGGTTCCGTCAGCCGCACCCAGGGAGCAGACGCCCTGCCCTGCCTGCATGCACTGTGCCCCCACACCCAGGACTCCTCTCACCTCCGTCCTTCCCTAATGCTCATTTCACTTAACAGCTTTCAAGAGTTACTCTGGGCTATCGATGGCCAGGCTACGTCACACTTCCAATCAGCTAACGAGAACCCAACATGAAGGAAGTGGAGATGTTCACAGCAGAATCTGAAGTCTGGGAAGTTAACAGGCCAATGGAGTGGAGGTAGGACGGAACGAGATTCAGGCAGGAAAGCGCCGCTAACAATGTGGAGAGCAGGCAGGCACGAGCGGCCACAGGGACACGGAGACATGCAGCCCTCAGCACAAGCCCGGCTTCTGCAAACTCCGGACACGCGGCCAAACGCAGGACAAAACACACACCACGCACGCAGCGTGCTAAGCACCCGAGCCTCTCTCTCTCAGCTCCGTGGGGTCAGCCGCAAAGCCACCCCGCCCACAGCAACTGCTTCTCAGTGACTTCCCAGCCCCCCATTGGAGTTTTGTTTGTTTTCTTTCTTAGAATCTATAGAATTATAAAGGAGAGCAGCGAATATATTTTGAAACATCTATAAAAAACGTCTCGAGAGGTTTTGACGTCTTTGGTACGCTACACGTCTTGATTCCAAAATCCGACGTGTTTCTAAGGACAGGGAGGGTACCCAGTGCAGAGCAACGTCCCCACCGCAAGGACTGTCCCAGCCTGGCTGGTCTCCACTGAAACCAGGATATCCCCGAAAGGTCCCTGGAAGACTTGGCCCATTAGTCCCAGGGCTCCCGAGTTACAGGAAGGATGGACTCCAGCAACGAGCGTCCTTCCTGTGACTTACTTCCCACCCTTCCTTCCCCAAAGCAAGAGCCAAAAGCACCCAAATCTCCCCAGCAGGTTCTGCGACACAGTCAGCTGAAAACAAGTTCCACCCCGTTCAGACGGCCTCCGCTCTTCCTCTTTATGCTTTTATTCTCGTACAAACAGAGGTAACACAGCATTTAACAAGCCAACTTTTCTCAGTGGTACCACTCAATGAGACCAAGGGCAGCAGTCATGGGCGGCCCCAGCACACCCAGGGCCATGTCCCCACCCTCCGAACAGAAAACAATGCCAAGTACTTCTGTTGCTCCTGAGGGGCTAGCAAGCAGCCCCGGTCGTGTGGTGCTTAAGGTCAGCAGTTCGAACCCAGCAGCTGCCCCACAAGAGACAGAACTGCCGGTCTGTTTGCATAAAGGTTATGGCCTTGGAAACCCTATGGGGAAGTCCTGTTTGGCCTGTAGGGTCATGGACAGCGGGAACTCAGCTCCTCAGTGATGGGCGGGGAGAGCTTCGCCCCCCCCTCCCAGCTCCGACCATTACACTTGGCTTCAAACTTACTCACACCTGCATGGGTGCAGTGACTTGGGCATGCACCTTTGGGTGTGAGGCAAACAAAGCCTTTCCCTCTAAGTCAATGGACAGCAGCCGCAGCAGCACACAGGCGGAGAGGCTGGGCGACCGGCTTAGGGCTGGGGATGGTAAATGGGAAGTGAAACCAAATGGACACGCAATGTTGAATGTAAAACCAACTCTGCTCTGTAAACTTGCACCTAAAGCGCAATAAAAAAAAAAGGGGGGCTTGTCACGAGACCAGCATGGTGGGGGGGGTCACCTCTGGGTGCCCGGTACAGGCAAGAATGGCAGGCAGAGCCCGGCCCAGGGGACAGCACTGTGTGACCGGCAGACACTCCCCCCGGCTCCTCCTTCGGGAAGTATCCGCACACCTTTGTGGACAAACACTCCCCTGGGGGTGGGTCCGCTGCTTCTCTGCTGCCGCCTTAGTTAACCCCTGGCTCCCTGCGGCACGGCCCCCTCGGCGGGCACTGCAGAGCCGCTGGGAAGCTGCAGGCCGAGAGGGCGGCCATCAGAAGCAGCCTCCGCAGCCCGGCCTGACACAGCACCCCCGCGGTAACCCAGGCAGGGCGAGGGGTCACGCCCGCCTCCCCGGAAAACAGTGAGCTTGCCACAAGCAGCAACCAGCTGCCAGGGAGTCGCCCTGAGTCCCAGAGGCCCCACCTGGAGTGTCAGGAGAGGGGTGCCCCGGGGCACACCCAGGGGCGGAGCTTTCACAAGCAGGTCGCCAGGCTTCTGTTCCAAGGTGCCTCTGGATGGAAAGGAACCGCCAAAACCTTTGGGTTAGCAGCAGGGTTAGCAGCAGCGTGCGTGAGCCGTCTGATTCACCAGGGACTCCATACCGAAAACCCACAGCAAACGCACTGTCAAGAGAGTTGACTCCAACACCCAGCGACCCTGTAGGACAGAGCACTGCTCCAGGGTGTCCAAGGCTGTCATCTTTACCGAAAGAGACTGCCACATCTTTTCCTATGCCACTGCCGGGGGTTGAGCCGACACCCTTCTGGTTGGCAGTCAATGCTTCACCAGGGCATACCAGGGCTCCTCAGGAACTCCGGAGTCATCCTCACTCAAAAGCACCAAACAAAACTCCTGCGCGCCACTGACTTCTGACTCCTGGTGAAGCCGTGCATGTCAGAGCACAACTGGGCTCCATGGTGATCCCAGCAGCTGACTGTCTGATTATTCAGAAGCCATCGCCTGGCCTTTCTTCCGAGGTGCTGCTGGGTGCACCTAAACCCCCCACCGTTTGGTTATGAGCTGCGTGTGTCCACCCTATGCACCATGCA